ACAACAACAGATACATAGACCAATGGAACAGAATTGAGAATCCAGACATAAATTCATCTACCTATGAGCAGCTGACATTTGACAAAGGCCCAAAGTCCATTAATTGGGGAAAAGACAGTCTCTTTAACAAATGGTGCTGGCATAACTGGATATCCATCTGCAAAAAAACTGAAATAAGACCTATACCTCACACCGTGCACAAAAAACCAAAAAAAAAAAAAAAAAAAGCAAAATGGTAATAGGCTAACACATAACTAGGGCTATCCTATATATTCAATTTCTTACATTTTCACCAGTGTTGCCCTGCTCTGGAAATCCTGTTGCTCCTTCTGGGATGAGGGAACCTCTTGAATCTTCCCTCTTAATTCCATGTCCATTTTGAAATGATCCATAAACTAAAAAAGCCGAGTCCTTGTTAGCAACAGGAGGCACTGTCAAAAACACTTTTAAAAATAAGTACTGGATTACTTTAAGATATATTTTATGGAATAGATTTTGGTCATCTAAAAGGTGATGGTTATATATTATATTAAAACACCATAAGAAGTTACTAAATGATAAGCCATATATTTTTACATCTTCAAAACATTTTGGCATATATGAAACTGTAAGAAATTCCCTGGAAGTTATTAAATATAGCCACATAATTGAAGAGATTATTATTTTAGTCTCAGTGGAACACATAACTTTATTATTTCTTTGTATTTTATTGTATGTTTGCAGTATTTTGCAATTAGAAATTTAAAACAAGAATACATGAAACATTGTGACTGTTTAAACATTCATGTTCCAGGGGATCACTCAGAATGACACATGAAAATCAAATCTGCTGGTTCTCAGTGAGTGTGGAAAATGCATTTGGAATGGTGCAGACTGATGAACTGTTTTCAGAAAGCAGTAAATGCAATGGACAGGAAGTTGATGAACATATGATGTTCACAGAAATAAATGTTTATATTCTTCTTTACAAAATCTTGTGTTCCCTTCACTGCCCTACCACCAAAGTAGAAAGATGTAACTAAAAGTAGATATTAAGACTGGGAAAATGATACAGAAGGCATATATGCCATTTGCACGTTTAAGTTATCAGTAATCTTACACACGTGAAAAGTGAAATACCCATATTTGACAATAAAATAATTTATTAAACCATCCAAATAGTGTCCTAAGCCCGGATATAAAAATTTATAATGATTTAAAATGTTACAAAGGCATGGAACAATTAAAATCAATAATTCTCATACTACATTTCATTTGAGCCTAGTAATATGATGAAGAGATTATTTTATAGATAAGGAAATGGGCTCAGAAAAGGGAAGTGTCTTGCTAAAGAATGGTGACAGGGAAGAGGATATGAAACCAGTGCTTTCCTCATTATCCTCTATTTTTTCTCATTATACAAGCTATGTTTTAAACAAGCTTAATTAAGGAAATCTAAGCAAAAAAAGGTGGCTCCAAGTGTCAGCCAGATATTAAACTTTAGTAGAGATCATGCTAACTATGTAGTTTTTATTATGAAATATTTCAAATACACAGGGAAGTACAGGGTACATTTCTAAACACCCATGTGATGTAGTTGTATAACCTTTAAAGGGCTTAATTACCAGTGTCTTTGTCAGTGCTTAGACTTCCTCTACTTGTTGGTGAAGTAAAGCCACATGCAAACTCATCCCTGGATGCCTGTAACACAATGTGATACCCATGTCATTTAAACAAACTTGTATATTAGGATAAGAAATCTGAATTAACAGAATGAGCTGCACCCTGATTTTAAACAAAGATCACTACAGGAGTTAATACTTCCACTGAGCAGATGACATAAATATAAAGTATACAATTCTGAGCACTGTGTTTTAAATAGAGCATGTCCAGAAGAGGCTAACCATAAAAGGGAAGGGTTTAGAGTCTGACAGATGATGAAGTGGAGATGTGGAGATATTTGGCCTGGAGAAAAAATTAGAAGGCACATGTTAAAGGGATATCCTGTGGAGGTGAAAACTGATGTGTTCTACGTATGTATCTCTACAGGTCAAAACTAGGACAGTCGCTAGAAATCCACTGACCTTTTAGGTCTAATGGGAGAAAGAATGTTTTAATTATTACTATGGCAAAAAGTTGCTTTGACAAATAGGAGACTGATCACCTCCAAAGTTCCTTCCAAGCCCAAGATTCTAAGGTGAGAAAAAGGGCACAGAACCAATTGTTATCAGCTAAAAGTGACTCACCAATGAGTACCAAAAGGAGGCTGTCGGGGGGTGGCGGGGGGGAGAAGTAAAGGAATACAGTTTAGTCCCTGGTACCTAACATTTGAAAGCTAAGAAATTCTTGTTTGGTTTTCAAGTTGGATAAATATATGAAGGCATATAACAAAAGTAAATCTTAACAAAACATTGGGTACAAGGGATTCTTTTTTTTTTTTTTAATATTTTATTGTACTTCAGGTGAAGGCTTACAGAACAGATAGTTTCTCATGTAACAGTAACACACATGCTGTTTTATGACA